GGAGAGACGACTAATGTGCCAACTCCCTCCCAGCAGTGACCATGATTTTGCATCTCATGTAGTACTTTGTGTGCGTTAGTAACTATTTTTCATTTAATGAAATAAAATCTGTTGCTTCTACACTTTTGCTAATTCAGTGAGAATCTTCGCTTATCAAAGTGAGGGCTGAAGTGAATAACTCGAGAGTGGTTTAACTGAAAAGATTTTTGTAACCATGGTCAGAAGAAAACGGTGCTGTTATCAGGACTTACCACATCAGGCTGGGGGTTTTGCACAATTCGAGACACAAATGTGACTGAGAGAGTGACCCCGATAATTATTTACAACACTGCTCCTTTTTTCTCCTGGACCTGTACTTTTTCTGTTGGTTTAACTAGTTGTAAACAGGATAACTTTTTCCTGCTTATGTACCACTTGTTGAATTTGTGTCCCATGTATATGAACCCACAGTTTCTGAATGTAATATAGGGATATTTACATAATGTTTAAGAGCATGGAATAGTTTCAGAGATGGGATGATGAAGCAGGCTAAATTCCTTATTCAGGAAATCGGACTGGGAAATAAAGGAAGACAGTATTCGCTTTGCTGGGATCAGTTTGTCCCAGCTACTCTTTATGTTACCCAAGAGAGAATACAGTAACAACAAAGTCTAACAGGGCATTCAGTTCCAATCCAGAGGACTGAATATTAATCCTAGAACCATGGAATATCTGTAGGGTTTAGGAAAATAAAAGGTTTGCCACTTTGAGGGTCTGTTTTCCATCATTTAACAAAATGTGGTTAATGCCTTTTTGTAAAACAATACACATAAGTATATTTCAAAATAAAACTTGGAAAAAAAATACTATCGCCACAGGGCTGAGTGCAGTTGGTCACGCTTGTAATTCCAGCACTTTGGGAAGCCCAAGTGTGAGGACTGCCTGAGTCTAGGAGTTTGAGACCACCATGGGCAACATACTGAGGCCCTGTCTCTATAAAAGATTAAAAAACTAGCCAAGTATGGTAATGCATGCCTGTAGTTCCAGCTACTTGGGTGGCTGAGATGAGAGGATTGCTTGAACCCAGGAGTTAGAATCTGCAGGGAGCTATGATCATACCACTGCACTCCAGCCTGGGTGACAGAGCAATACCCTATCTCATATAAATAAATAGTATAGTCATAGGTTTTTAATAAAGTGCTTCAGTCCCACCTAGAGTTTGGGGAATGTCAGGAGGAACACTAATTTTGCAAAGTAGCCACCTTTAATTAGAGAAGCAGCCTGCACACTTAGCCTTATCAGACAGCAGGGATACAAACAATAGAACAGGGCTTCCCACAATGATGCACAGGGAGCTATGAAGATGATGCTCAGGAGAGTTCTCAATGAGAAAGCAATGCTTAGAATAAGTGAAAGTGTGCCCTCAGTTTTGCAGAGGGAGGGAGAGGAATGGGATTCCTGCATCAAGGTTAAGAGAAAGGATTGGTTGGGCTTCCTCACTTCCCAGCTGTGTGGCCTGGGCTGACTTACTCTGGCCTTTTCTGTACAGTAAGAATAATAGTGTCCTTTTTCAGTTTCTCCATCTGTACAGTAAGAAAACAGTGTCCATCTCAAAGCATCATTGTGAGAATTAAATTGAGAATGTATGTGAAGCACTTACATAGTATTTGGGCACCTAGAAGCACTCAGAAACAGTGAAAAATATGTATAGAAAATAAGCTCCTACTTACTTCCAAGGACTACTGATTTTTCTTTTTTATACTTTATTACAACCTTTAAACTTCCTGCAGCAAAACAGGTACTTCTTTTCTTTTCTTTTTTGGAGATGGAGTCTCGCTCTGTTGCCCAGGCTGGAGTGCAGTGGCACAATCTTGGCTTACTGCAGCCTCTGGCTCTCAGGTTCAAGTGATTCTTCTGCCTCAACCTCCTTAGTAGTGGGGATTACAGGTGCGTGCCAGCATGCCTTGCTAATTTTTATATTTTTAGTACAGACAGGCTTTCACCATGTTGGCCAGGCTGGTCTCACACTCCTGACCTCAAGTGATCTGCCCATTGGCCTCTCAAAGTGCTAGGATTACAGGCATGAGCCACCATACCCTGCCCAAAAAGGTACCGCTTTTCTAAAACCAATTTTGTTAAAGATAGGTGTACATGAAGTGACACTACCCTGGACTAAGTGAGTGGTGCTAGAAAAGGTGCCAGCTGGGGGAGGATCTGAAGGATTATATATTTCAACCGCCTTGTTTTTAGATGAGGAAGCCAAGGCCCAGAATGACCACCTTCACAACAAGCTGAGACTAGAACCTAGGTTTCTAGACTAGGCAGGGATGAAAGCACTGGACAAAGCATGCCTGTCCAGCACTAACCACTGGTCAAAGTGACTTCAAGGTTTCAGGTTTTGGGGCTCAGAAGAATGGAGACTGAAATGAGACAGTTAGTGAGAGAAGGAGTTTTGATATGAAGAGCATGCATTTGTTTGGTTTTGAATGTTGTCAGCCTTGAGAAACATTGGAGCAGGTTTCCAGTTTCACCTATGGACAATTTAAGACATAGGCCTGGAGCTGAGTGTCAGGCAGGACCATGGACAAAAACCTGGGGAAAAATTTCCTGAAATTAAAAGATGAAGCTGTATAAACAAACTTTTCAAAGTTCAAAGAACAGACCACAGTGGGAAATACCAAAGGGTCAAAGGATGAGTGGAGAGGGCCAGTAGAAATGAAAAAGGGGAGAAGTGCCTCTGAAGAAGAGGAAGATTTGGGCAACAAAGCTGAGGACTCGATTTCAGGGTCGGCTCAACTATCCACAGTCTGAAATTCAGGAAGGAGGTCAGTAAAAATAAAGCTGGAAAAAGAAACCCAGAATATTTTGAATTCGACTAGGAGGAAGTCACTATGATTAAAAAAGCAGTGTTAGAGATGGGAAATGAAGCACCTGAATCCCTTAAAGAATTTTTTAAACTTTGAGACAGAGTCTCACTCTTGTTGCCCAGGCTGGAGTGCAGTGGCAAGATCTAGGCTCATTGCAACTTCTGCCTCCCAGGTTCAAGCAATTCTCCTGCCTCAGCCTCTCAAATAGCTGACACTACAAGCACGAGCCAGCATGCCAGGCTAATTTTTGTATTTTTAGTAGAGAGAGAATTTTACTATGTGGGCCAGGATGGTCTTGAACTTCCAACCTCAGGTGATCTACCTGTCTCAGCCTCCCAAAGTGCTGGGATTACAGGTGTGAGCCACCACATTCAGCCCTTATTCAAGAATTTAGACTGGGAAATAAAGAAAGAAGGTATTTGATGACAGTGGAGAGAGATGGCAGAGCAGGGTCATGGCTTATTCAAGATGAAGGACTCTATGACTATTTGAAAGCAAAAGGGAAGAGATGAAGAAGGAGATTAAAACTTTCAGGAGGTAGAAGATAAAGCTTGGGTAAGCGTCCTCAAAAGTCAAAAAAGCAAGAGAACAAGGCAAGGCTGGAATCACTAGCATTATATCCCCAAGGCATCTCTCCCTCTTGTTACTTGAATGATCTGGGTTTTAAGCATTTTAAAGATTTCTGAAGTCTTAGCCTATTAACAGGGACTTGAAAATTCCACTTACGTATGAGCAAGCAACTCATAGTAAACTGGGGATGGTAATCTTTTCTCCTGGTGCAGTGTGGTTGAAACCTCACCACAGTACTTAGCACAGTGGTCATTAAATCATTGTTAGTGTTGCTATTTGCTGAGTGTGATTCTAATGGACTCCATGACAGGAGCACCCATGTATGATCTTTTGACAACTGAATCCCAGTAATTTGTACAGTGCGAAAATATAATGGGTGCCCAATAAATATTTGTTAAATGGATGAATAAAGGAATCAATGAATAAGCAGCCTCTCCTACAGAAAGGAAACTCGTATTCAGGGAGATCATGCAGGATTTACATCATTCAATCAAGCAGGTTAGCAAATGCATAACCTCTTTAAACACTATTTGGTAAATGGCCTTGAGTTTTTCATTTTTTGGTAGGGGTCAGGGGACAGAGTCTTGTTCTGTCCTCCAGACTAGAGTACAGTGGTACAGTCTTGGCTCACTGCAACCTCTGCTGCCCAGGTTCAAGCAATTTTTTGCCTCAGCCTCCCACGTAGCTGGGAGGACAGGTGCCTGTCCCCACAATTGGCTAATTTTTGTATTTTTAGTAGAGATTGTGTTTCACCATGTTGACCAGGCTGGTCTCGAACTCCTGGCCTCAAGTAATCCACTCCCCATGGCCTCCCAAAGTACTGAGACTTATAGACATGAGCCACTGTACTTGGTTGGAGTTTGTCTTGGATGCATTTCTAGTACTTAAAAAAAATTACATATCCCAAAGCTATCATAGAAGTTCCTAGAAGAATTTGTCTCGAATTCAAAGCAAATTTAAACAGAGAATAATTGGCATGCAAAATACTGACTTTCTGCACTGACTTAATGGCAGTTTTCTTTTCCTATCTATGAAATGGGAACAATGGTAAGAGGTACTTTAAAGATACGTAACATTGAAAAGCACTTAGAGTCTGATGCCTTTATTATTCACTACAAGTATTATCTCATACTTCCTCCAAAAGCTTAATTTCCAACTTGGTAAAATATTTTGATTGTGATTAAATTGGGTTACTCAGTAGGCTTAAGTTTTTGTGGATTTTCCATCTAAAAACCTTACTATGTACCAAAAACAGATACACTCCAGGATCCAAGTGGCACAGTACATGGAATGAACTCCATAAATATTTGCTGATTGACTGAATAAATCATTTTTTAAGAATAAAAGTGGTCTCACTGCCATCATTTCATTTCATCCTATATCAGCTTTGTGAGACTGTTATTACCTGTCTTCTACGGATGAGAAATCTTAGGCTCAGGGAAGTTAACCTACTTGCCCAGCACCACACAGCACCGGCAACTAAAACTCAAGCTGTCTGATGCCCTAAGCCTCATCATTTCTTTTACCTGCTACTGCTTCTAACTTGGACTTTGTTTTCTTTCTTTCTTTTTTGTTTTCCACCAGGAAATGATGAACAGAAGCCCTTGAGAAAATGGCTTCTCTTTGTATTTATGGCAACCATCTGCTTGATCTTGTTAATTCTCTCGCTCATCTGTAGAATGTAGGTATTCTTTACATTTGGGAGCTTGCGATGGGGTCTGAGTACTGCATTTTTACATGCTTACTATGTGTCCGGTAGGCAGAGCGTTCTTGTTACCAGGTGGAATTTATGGCATTTTTGTGCCTGGATGACCTGTTCAAGATGAGCGTAGGCCAGATCAAAAGTGGGAAACATCCAGAGGTGAATTACAGAAGCCAGAGCACAACACAGCCCTTGGCTATCACTCACTCCTACTTGAAGCTGTGGACAGCTTGTTAATTTCTGTGAAGATTTCTACATGCGGGTTCTTTTGATTACTTCTCAGCCTTCTACTCAGTCCTTGGCTCTTTTGGGTAAGCTGCCAGCATAGGCTTTTCACAGCTCAGAAAGGCTAAAATCACCACAATGCCTGCATATTATCATCCTCAACTATCAGGTCACCAGGCCCCTGAGTGGCTGATGGCTCATAGGTCAAACATAGATTCTACAAATAGCATGTGGATCTGGTATACTATCCTGGAGCCCACAAATGGCCTGTAAGTACCCCTTACATATTTTAGCTTTCAGTAAGGCAAAGGACATTATAGGAGGCTTAAGAACATGTTTTGTCTTGTCCCTTTCATAATTTAGAAAATGACTTTTATATTCAACAGCTTTACTGTTATAAATGCTATCTTCAGATGGCATCTATAGGTTGGGAAGGCAGCCCAAAGGAGATGAAAAGAAAGTAAATTTGGCTGAGCATGGTGACTCACACCTATAATCTCAGCACTTTGGGAGACCAAGGCTGGAGGATCACTTGAGGTCAAGAATTCGAGACCAGCCTGGGCAAATGGTGAAACCCTGTATCTACAAAAAAAAAAATACAAAAATTAGCCAAGTGCAGTGGCATGTGCCTGTAGTCCCAGCTACTCAGGAGGCTGAAGTAGGAAAATTGCTTGAGCCCACAAAGTGGAGGTTGCAATGAGCTGCAATGGCACCGCTGCACTCCAGCCTGGGTGACAGAGCAAGACACAGTCTCAACAACAACAGCAGCAAAGTAAGTAAACCCTGAGCAAGCACAGTTGAGGAAGGAATGCTTCAACCAGCATTGTAGAAAATGGCACAGCACCACACATTTGAAGTATACAGTTCAGTATCAGAGATTAGGCCTGGTAGCACCCACTGACACAAAGCAGTTTCCATTTATTCTTCCCTAGATGACTCAGAAGCCACAGCAGAGCCTTGCGGTACTCCCTAAAGTCTTCACCTATTATTTTGCAAGTCTTGGAAAACAAAGATTTTGAATTTACGAAACAGCAGATTCTAGAATTTACCAGGTCAATGTTTAGAGTAGACATTTAGAGACATAAGGTATATTCATGCTCATCTAATTCCTTCTTTTGCTCTGTTTTCAGATGTCATTTATGGACCAAGTTGTTTCCACCAATTCCAGCACCAAAAAGTAATATCAAAGATTTCTTTGTAACCCCTAACTATGAGGTAATGTGGAGAGTTCTTATGATATTCCACGTGTCCAGGGTTGAGTCCCCTGGGAGCTGTCACTGGGTTCTTGGTTTTCTATATCATAAGGGAGGATTTTTACCCAGAAGGCCAAGAGTATTTCTATTGCTTCAGTCATTCTGTTCTTTGGCTGATTTGGTTTGTATTTTTTAAGAGATGGGGTCTTGCTATGTTGCCCAGGCTGGTCTCAAACAACTAGGTCTAAGTGATCCTCCCACCTCAGCCTCCCAAGTAGCTGGAACTACAGAAGTATGCCATCATGCCTGCTTGGCTGATAGTTTTATTATGCATGTTCACTACTGTTTTGACATATTGGAAAGGTCCTACTCTCTTATAAGTGTTCTTGCCAGTCAGACTGGGATTTTAATTTCCTATCAGCCATTCTTTAACTGACTTTGGACAATCTCTTCAACCCTATGAGTGCTGAATTTCTTTCTGGTATAAGGGACACAGATGAGATCTTACAATGTTCTGCTTAGCTCTAATGTTTTAAGACTCCATGTTTCCACCTGAGTACCTTAGTTAATAGAGAATTTTCAGAGGGAATTTGAGAGCTCTTTAGTATAAACAAGACGATAGAAAAGGCAAATTATTTTACCCAATATGTATTTTCTTAGGCCTATTCACCATTGAGAGCACTTAGGCTCAGCCCAATGGTCACTAACTTGTGGCTATCAATTGTTCCAGCATCATTTGTTGAAGTAAATCATCCTTTCCCCACTGAATTATCTTGGCATTTCTGTTGGAATTAGTTGCCGAATATAGGTGGCTCTATTTCTGGACTATCTGGTTTTCATGACCTTTTTGTGTATCTTTATGCCAATACAATACTGTCCTGATTGCCGTGGCTCTATTGTAAACCATGAGACCAGTTGGTATAAGGCCTCCGAAAATGATTTTAAAAAAAATTATTTTGGTTATTCTAGATCCTCTGCATTTTCATATACATCTTAGATTTAGTTGATCATTTTCTACAAGAAAAGGTAGCTGAGATTTGGGGTGAGATTGTGTTGAGCCATAAGTTAATTTGGGGAGAAGTGATATCTTAATATTAAGCCTTCTTATCTATAAATGTAGCATATCACTCCATTTATTTAGGTTTTCTTTAACTTCTCTCAGCAATGGTTTGTGATTTTTCAGTGTATGATTACTGTGCTTTGACAAATTTATCCTTAAGGTGAATGGTTATTTAGATCGGGGCTCAGCAAACTTTTTCTATAAAGAGCCAGATAGTACATATTTGAGGGACAAATGGTTTCTGTCTCTTTAACTCTGCCATTGTAGTGTGAATGTGGCCCCAGAAAATGTGCTAATGAATGAGTGTGGCTGTGCTCCAGGAAAACTTCATTTACGAAAACAGGCAACAAGCCAGATTTGGCCCACAGCTGTAGTTTACCAACCCCTGATTTAGATCAAACAATTTTCTTAACTAATTTAGTTTTCTCTCAAATAAACTAACTCACGATTGGATGAACCACCTGGTGACTGGTTGTAGGGAAAAGAAAAGGTTGATGGAAAAACTCACCAAAATGATTAATTTCAACAAGTGGTGACCTTTCCTCAGCGTTTGCAGTTTGGGTGTTGGAAGGATTTATAGACAGTTACAATTACTAGCTGATTGCGTAGAGAATGGAGGCTGGCAAAAGAATCACTCTGCCGGTGGCTGGATCCTTGTGTTCTCCTTTATCAGGGGAATGGCCCATCTGCTCTCCTTTACCGAGTTCTTTCGGAGGAAGAGTGGGCCCCAAGGTAGAACTTGGTGCTGGTTCTGGATGTGTGCTGCCAGTCCCGCCTTGGTCTAGAACACTCACCTCTGAGAAAACACATCTGGTTTTGTTTGTTTGAGATGGAGTCTCGCTTTGTCACCCAAGCTGGAGTGCAGTGGAGTGATTTCTGCTCACTGCAACCTCCGCCTCGTGGGTTTAAGTGATTCTCCTGCCTCAGCCTCCTAGGTAGCTGGGATTACAGGTGTCTGCCATCATGCCCAGCTAAATTTTGTATTTTTAGTAGAGACAGGGTTATGCCAGTCTAGTCTTGAACTCCTGACCTCAAGCAATTCAGCCTCCCAAAGTGCTGGGATTACAGGTGTGATTCATAGCACCCAGGCCACATCTAGTTTAAGCAGCCAACTGAAGTTATTTGTCCCAGCCTCTTAATGGTGGTATCTAATTTCCCTACAGAGCCCTGAAAGATTTCCTTTAATATCCTGAAGTTGGAGAAATAAACTGGTTTAAGAGCTTATTGAATGAGGTTGTTATTTGTTGTTAATTAAAATCAAGTCATGTGTGTAAAATAACAACTTGGGGCAGACAAGCTGGTTTCAGAATAATTGGAGGATGATTGTCAGCACCGAACATCGCCTGGCTTCTCAGAACAACTTATTCTCTTCTCACATTGCAGAGTTTCACATAAAAACAAAGCAGTTAGAGACTGAGTTTAGAAAGAGCACACAGAACTGAGGAAATGAAGTCCTACCTGGTGCTGTAGGTGCTATGGCCTAAATTCTCCACCTGAGAGAGGATAAGAGCAAGTGCAGAGCTGCCTACAGCCAGGCCCCATGTGGCCGTGCACAGCCTCTACCTCCAAGGACAAAAGCCATCTAACCCATTCTCAGAGGCTGTGATACAAGGATGACAAGAGGGTATGCTGGTGCTATAGTCAGTGGCCACTGGGAAATGTTTGGCTAGTGGGAAAGGAAACCCTTTGCTTTTCAAGGTAATGTGCACCTTTGAGCTTGGGATGGGTGCCCAAAGTCCCAGGACTTAGTGGAGCTCTGCCATCCCAAAAGCAAGTTTTTGCTTGCTCAGACCTCAGTTAGAAATTATTTTGTAACATTCAAACTATAGTGAAGGGGCAGGCATGGTGGCTCATGCCTGTAATCCCAGCACTTTGGGAGGCCAAGACAGATAGATCACTTGAGATCACGAGTTCAAAACCAGCCTGGCCAGCATGGCAAAACCCCATCTCTACAAAAAAATACAAAAATTAGTCAGGTGTGGTGGTGCACACCTGTAGTCCCAGCTACTCGGGAGGCTGAGGTGGGAAGATGGCTTGAGCCCAGGAGGCAGAGGTTGCAGTGAGCTGGGATTGTGCCACTACACTGCCGCCTGGGTGATGGAGCCAGAACTTGTCAAAAAAAATATTGTGAAGGAAGAAAGTGAATTGGCCTTTAGCAGAAAAAAAAAAGCTTATTCTAAAAAATCAAATCCTAGCTTTCTAATAATTTACTTATTTATACATTTTGTGTAGAGACAAGTTCTCACCAGGCTGGTCTCCAACTCCTCTGCTCAAGCTATGTGCCTGCTTCAGCCTCCAAAAGTGCTGGGATTACAGGCATGAGCCACACTGCCTGGACTGAGCTTTCAATTTATGAGACTGGTTTCCAGCTGTTCTTTGATTCTACAGTGGCAACCAGAGAGGGTTCTTCCCCCAATTAGGTTGCCTATAAACTATTAAAAGTAAAATGGATAAGGCAGGAGCCACGCCTGCTGTGTCCACCAGTGAATTCCCAAGACACAGCACTGTGGTGAGTGTGGAACAGGTAGTAAAAAAATATGTTGGATGAGTAAATGAGGTAAAGGAATAGGATCTTTTACAGGCAATTTTATTTTTTGTTACCCATTTTCCAATTGTTATCAGCATTATTCATTATTGCCAAAATGGGTCAGAACTGTCCAGAGATAGGGGGATACTGTAGTAAACCATGGATGGAATATGATGGAGCTACCAAAAGCGATGTGGCTGAAGCACATGTAACAATGCGATTTACAGTCAGTGACGTTAGAGAGAAAGAAATCAATGTATAAAGATGTGTATCCATATGACTTCAAGTAAGTGTAAAGAAAACTTTATGCCTAGAGAAAAAAGGCTGAGGAGAAGCAGTGGGCTATGTGTTTGGGAGAGAGGTGCATGGGGAGGCATTTTCTTCTTCTTCTTCTTCATTTTTCACATCTTCTTCAATGAACATTTACTATTTTTATTTAAAAAATAATAGACTTAAGGCCGATTGTAAAGATTTCAAAGAACCCAAAAGTTATCTAAAGGACGTCTAAGGAAAGATGGTTTGTTTTGCAGAAAGCTGGGTCCACTGAGACAGAAACTGAAGTCATCATTTATATAGAGAACCCTGGAGTTGAGACCCTGGAGGATTCTGTGTTTTGACTAGTCACTGTGGCATCCTCTGATGAACTCACACACACATGCCTCGGTGAAAAGAAGGACAGGATGCTGGTTCTTGGCTAAGAAGTGTTCAGAATTTATGGAACACTCAGTTTAGCTGTGAGGCAATAGACCCAGACACACCAGTCTTGTGTCTCTTAAAAGTTTGGATGCTTCATCAAAATCTCCTCGCCCACGGCAAAGATGTTGATTCATCCAAGCATTTTGCCATGTTTTTTCTCCCCACACTGTACAGGATAGCACCTCCTCACCTGCCGATCTTTGCAATTTGCCTGACTTGCCTCAACCTTTTCTTGCACAAGAGACAGATTTTAAGGCTAACGTCCAGCTGCCAATGGTAGCACTCAGCTACAATCTGAGGAAGAAAGCATTTGCCTGGTATGAATCATGAACTTGGATTCAAGACTATCTTTTCTATAGCAAGTGAGAGGCACAAATTCCTGGTGCTTTCCTCACCCCCTACATTCTAGAGTGATCTTTTTCAAGGTAGAGTGTTTATGTATGAGAGAGATTGAGAGAGAGAGAAGTTATTTAAGCTTCAGAGGCCTGATCCAGGAAGTGTTATTTAAAACCAGCTAATTTAAAAGCATGAAGAGCTATACTATCACTCTGTATTAAAAGAGAGGACAGGATTTTGTTCAAAGATTATATTCTTGAAGGAAACCTTAATATTCTGGAAACATATTAAGAAAGGCATTGAGCATAATTCAATCATGAAAGGGACCACTGAATCAAGAAAGAACTTTCTGAAGAGATGTTTGCTGCCAAAGACTTCAAAGCAACTTGACAGTCAAGTAATGCGAGGTCAATCCTAGTCTCTCAAGTTTGGAAAGGTTTCTACAAGGCCATCCATCAAATATCCCAATATATACAGAAAATTCCTTTTCCTAACATATTCATATGAATCTGCATCCAGATTGAAGGCCTTTGTGATGGGTGATGGGCTGTAGGTGGAGCCAAGTACAGGAATGTCCTGGGCAGAGATGGGCAATAGGGAGGAACTCAGTGCTGACTCTGCATGTCCCTGGATCAAGAAGCTGAAGGCCAAGAAAGGAGGTAACAGTGCCCAGAAAACCCACATGGGACACTCAGGCTTTCTGGAGTTGGTTTAGTTAGTTTTGATCCATCAGTGGGGACACATTGACCATCATGTATTTCCAGGTTTGTTTCCCTAATTAACCTATACTTATCCACTATAACTAGCAGAGGGTCGGACCCTGGGTAATAGGCATAGAAACACCTTGGGTCTTGACAAGCCTGCACTGTCTTGTAGTAATCTGTATTACTGCCCTCATTTTATAGTTGCAGTCACTAAGATTCAGAGGAGTTGATAGGAAATGGCATAGTGTAGAGTTGAATACCAGGCTCAGGTGACCCCAGAAATGTGGGGAGGAGTGTCAGGGAAAGCTGAGGCCTGCTTAGGGGTGTGGCTGAGCAGGCAAGGCCCAGGGAGGTGCAATAATTAGCAAAATGTTTGGTGACTTGAGTGATTCAGAATCTCAAACCTGCTTTTTTTTTGGAATCTCAAACCTGCTTTCTTTTTGGAGACAAAGTCTTGCTCTGTCACAGGCTAGAGTATGGTGATGTGATCTTAGCTCACTGCAACCTCTACCTCCTGAGCTCAAGCAATCCTCCTGCCTCAGCCTACCGAGTAGCTGGGACTACAGGTGCATATCACCATGCCCAGCTAATTTTTGTATTTTTTGTAGAGATGGCATTTTGCCATGCTGTCCAGGCTGGTCTCAAACTCCTGGGCTCAAGAGATACACTGGCCTCAGCCTTCCAAAGTGCTGGGATTACAGGCATGAGCCACCGTGCCAGGCCACGAAACTGTATTTTTAATGAACACCTTAGGTCAGAATCAGAGGCACCTGGAGGGCTCATTAAGACAGAGGAGTGGGCTCCATTCTTAGAGTCTCTGATTGAATAGATCAGGGTGGGGTCTGAAAAATCTGCAATTCTAACAAGTTCCCAGGTGATGCTCATGCTGCTGGTCCCCAGGACACAATGAAAAACTGCTGCTCCGGGAGAGTCTTATGATTATCAAAATTTAAAAATCAGCCGCTGAAGGAAGAGGTGACAGAAAAGGCCTGCTCCCAAAAAACTGTGCAGGGAGGCTTGGAGCTCCCTGTCTGATCTCTTTCAAACCAGAGCCTAGACAGTTAGCAGTGTGGAAATCGCCTCTGCCTAGGAGGCAGGCACAGAAGCAGGGAGCTCCCCCACCACCAATGTGGCCAGCTCTTCAGTGCTTGTGTGATGCTCACTTCGGAGACTCCTCCCTCCTCAGCAGCCATCAATTACCTGGGCCAAGCCGAGCTCCTTGCTACACTTCCCTGAGCTAATACCATTATCTGGCCCTTGGTATATATGTTTCAACACAACGTAGCCCATGTGGCCTGCTTGGTGGATTGGGAACTTCTTCCTCCCTTCTTCGTTTGTGGAACTCATAGTCATTCTTTGGGAACCCATAACCATCATCACTTCTTCGATGAAGCCTTCAAAAGCAGAGTTAGTTGATCCTGCCTTTGGATTCTCATTCTGTGCCTCATCTCAATGTTGGAGCTACTGCATTTGCAGAATATACCATTAACAGTTGGGAGGCCTCCCCTCTAGACTGTGAGTTCCAGGAAGATGGAGCTTGTGTGAAATCCGTCTCTTTATCTGCAGTGTCTAGGACAGTATCTGACCTGAGAAAATATGTTTCTTAAACCCTGTCAGCACTGACACAGTACCTTACATACAGATTAGACTTAACAGTATTTGGCAGAGATCCTCAAAGCCTACAATAACACAGGAGGAAGCTGGGTGTCCAGTGAGAATGTGATTGGAAGCAACTAGGAGACACATGTACCTAACCATCAGGCTAGTGTGACCTGGATGTTTTTACTGCCAAAGTATCTAAATTGTTACGTATAAATTGCTATGTAAGAGGCATTTCAGAAGTGGCTAATTTTGAGTGGTCTCTACTGTTCTCTCTAGCCTTGTTAGGGCAAGTCAGAAAGTTTGAAATTCACTTAATAGTAAACACCATCATCAGCAGGTTGATGTAAAGTGAAGTCATGGTATTGGCTCCCACCTCTTGCAATCTCCCACTATGACAGGGTAGAGAGTCACTTTCCTCCTAGAGCCTCCACGGCCATGGGATCAGAACAAACATGCTTTTCCAAGACATGTGTTCCAACAGGGATTTTAGCCCAATTTCTTTCCTTGGCATTTGGAATTCACTGCGTGCAGCATGCGGAAGTGCTGGGGAGACTGGAGGGTAAAGGTCACGTTTGCCAACAGCCCGACCACCTGAGTCTCATTGAAATGCCTCAGACCTCAAGCTATTTATGCAGGCTGGGGAAGAATCCACGTGGGCAAAGAACATCCTGATTAAAAATCCAAACGTTTTCATAGTGATGCTTATATGTGTAAGGACCATCTGCTGGTGGAATTAATAAGCCTTAGGTGCTAATTTGTTAAAGAAAAAGTAGATATCTGGAAGTGAGAACAGAGAACTGAAAACAAACTTTGATGGCACAAGTAAAGGTGAAAAACCTAATTAGAATAGGACTTGGTGCTAGCCTAAGGACTGTAGCTGTTCCTGCTCCCACATCCTACAAATTGAGTTCCAGGGTGCAATTTTTTTGAAAAGCATTCCTTTCTTTGGAATTTTGCATTGCACTGTACTAAAAGACAATCTTGTTTATTTTCTGTGTTGTACGTAATAGGTGTGAATGAAAATGTTTCAGAATGAGAAATATTAAACATAAATGACAGTGAATTGTTTAAGTCTGCAATTAAAGAGCGGTTGGCTACATGTCTCATTTTACCCCTAATTATTCCCCTTCTCTCTTCCCACTGTTGTCTTCCTCTATCTCTCAGCTAGGACTACTGCCTCTGAATTGAACTCATGTCCTCCAGTATTTCCTCCCTTTGAAGGATCAGTGTAAAAGGCATATCTGCCTGTATAACTCCCCATCACCTTCAAGTCAAAGTGCCTTTTAAGACAAAGTCCAGTATGACTCAGCTTACTAGCTCTCCAGCCACAGCCCCAAATACTCCTACCTCTATTCTCACCAACGTGCTGATTTTATTTCCCTGTAAGCTCCATGCTATTGCATCACTCCATGACTCTGCTGAGACTTCTCTAGTGGAAAAAGCCTTTTCAACCTTTGTTCATTTTGTTGACATTTTGATTTATCTTCTAAGTCTTGGCTCTTTGCCACCTGAGAGAGTCTTTGATCAACTTCCAGTTTGAATTAAGCATCCCTCTATGTTCCTTCTGTTTAATTCTATCAGTCACTGGATTCTTTTTTATTTTTTGAAACGAAGGTCTCCTCTGTTGCCAGGCTAGAGAGCAGTGGCTGATCTCGGCTCACTGCAACCTCCCCTCCCGGGTTCAAGCGGTTCTCCTGCCTCAGGCTCCGGAGTAGCTGGGACTACAGGCGTGGGCCACCACGCTCAGCTAATTTTTATATTTTTAGTAGAGACACGCTCAGTTTCACCACGTTGGCCAGGATGGTCTCAACCTCTTGACCTCATGATCCACTGCCTCGGCCGCCCAAAGTGTTGGGATTACAGGCGTGAGCCACCACGCCTCCCCTAGACTCTTTAATTGCTCGGTCTCGTTTTCAGTGTAATCGTTCTGAGGTCAAGAGCAGTGTCTGATTTATCTTTGTGCCCATAAGCCCCAAGTAGGAAGCGACTGCTGTTGCGTCTAGCCAGACGAAGGAAAAGGAAGTGCGCTTCTTAAATGTTTACCAGAGTGGAAAACAATATCGATTATAAAGAACTAAGTTCTAATGGCGGGTTCACTTATTAAAGCTGTGTGGTTATAGCAGAAATTAAATAGGCACTGAAGCTTACATTAATGAAGTAATAAGAACTCACAGTTGGTCTGCTGCTCCTCTCAGAAACGCCACACTCCACCTCAGCTGCCACCAAACACCTGGGCTCCTCCGAGCTCCCGGCTCACCTCCCCAGCCGGCACCATCCATTTGGCTCTCAGTAGACACCTGCGTTG